TTGATCTCTTCCCTTAATAAACAAATATCTGAGTTTGGATTGACCTGCCACAGATTCAGGAGGAAAGCCTGCTGTGGAAGAGAAGCAAAATGTTGGTTTTGGAAGTGTTTCTTTAGGCATCTCCTTGGCTAGTGGAGTGTTCTACGGCTGTTAGGACACAGTCTAGCCAGTTTCATTTGCATCAGTCCCTTCCCTCTGTGGAGTGACCACAGCAGTTATCCTGCCTAGGCTGAGGGGTATTACCCACTTTGAATGACAGCTCCAGAGATGCAAACAATATACTTTAAAAATCATTTGGCAGTGGAGGGTGCTGGGGTCCAAATTTTTCTGAGGCTCAGTCCTCAGAAACCTCAGCTTTGCAGTCTCTGTTGACCTTGTTCTGAAGAGATGACCAAATGTAGAACCATGAGTGGGTACTAAGAAGACAAAGCAGAAGGATGCCAGGCTTTCTGACCTGGAATCCTGCCTTTTGCTCCTTTCAGTATAGTCCATGTGTGAGTGCCTTTTAAATGCTAGAGCTAACAAATATATTCATTCTTTAAAGTGAAAGAAAAGGGAGTTAAGATTTGTACATCTGCCAATCATAAAACCATGAAGCCACTCACACAGCCCAGGAAGGACAGGATGAGTTTTATATCTTCCAGAACTTGCTGCTGCTAGGCTACATGGTGCAGTAACACACACACACAGGCCAAGTGGAACTACTCTGCTTCCACTTCATTTGTCACCCAGGAAAGGAGGAAGCTCAGATTTAGAAGGCGATTGATGACGAAGATGAAGGTCATTGTCAGCACACGAGCTCCAGGTCAGCTCTGGTCTCCTGGGCCTGCCAGCTATAAAACACGTGTGAGGGATTAATACCTATTTGATGCCATTTAACAGGAATTTCTGTGCATCCAAGTGGGAGAGCTAATTACTGGGAAGGGGGCGGACACCACCGAGAGCCAGTCATGCCTATGGAATCTGGAAACTACCTGGCAAGGAACTGAGTCAAACAAAATGGCAATTAATAGAACATTTTGCTATGAGGAGTCTCAGTTTCCCAAGGGCAGAATCTGGGTCTTGAGAGTGGGAGTGAAAAAAAAATGTGGTTTGAAAGACTTACGGGATTCCACCCACTGTGTGAAGCTGCTGTAACTCAGAAGCATAAGGCACACAGGGAGCAGGAAGCACTGAATGCTAAATGCTGAACGACCACCTTGGGGGTGCTGGGCTGAGCACAAGAGCCATGTTTAAGAAGGGATGTTGGCCAGCTGGAGCACATTGTAGAAGACAGTGGACAGGCTAGAGAGGACTTGAGCAGCATCAAACAAGTAGATAAACACATTGATCATTCTTACCCCAGAGGTAACTGTAGCAGACTAGCAAAGAAAACCTGGGCTCTTCAGCCAGATACACTCAGATTTGAATCCTGACTGTCAATAATTAGCTACAGGATCTTAGGGAAGTGACTCACCACCCCCCTTAAGATTGTTTCCTGATCTGTAAAATGGAGTCATACTATATATCTTGTTAGGTGGTCAGGATTAATAATGAATCTGAAGTGCATGGTATATAACAAATGCTCTTTGACTATCAGTTACAAGCATTAATGTTATAACTCAGGGATATAATGGTTGACTTGCCATGTCTTTTCTTTTTTTAAGATTTTATTTATTTTTATTGGAAAGGCAGATATACAGAGAGGAGAGACAGAGAGGAACATCTTCCGTCTGATGGTTCACTCCCCAAGTGGCTGCAACAGCTGGAGCTGAGCCGATATGAAGCCAGGAGCCTCCTCCGGGTATCCCACATGGGTGCAGGGTCCCAAAGTCTTGTGCAGTCCTCGACTGCTTTCCCAGGCTACAGGCAGGGAGCTGGATGGGAAGCTGGGCTGCCGGGATTAGAACCGGCACCCATATGGGACTCTGGTGCATTCAGGGCGAGGACTTTAACCGCTACACTATCACGCTGGACCCCCCATGTCTTTTCTAAAGGTTGTTTTCCTGTAGCGTAAAAGTACAACTTCTCAAACTCAGAGCATTACATGGCATTTCAGTTCATTTGTGCTGTTAAAACATAATACCTGAGACTTGGTAATTTGTAAACAGCAGAAATTTATTTTCTCACGCTTCAGAGGCTGGGTAGTCCAAGAATAAGTGTTTGGTATCTGACTAGGTTTTGCTTGGTACATCATCATATGGTGTAAAGTGGGAGGGCAAAGAGACAAAAAGGAAGCCCAATTTGCCCTTACTTGGTGACATTAAAAAACACCCAGGACAGAGGCCAGCAGCATAATCGCTTCTTGTTGTCCCCACCTCTTAGTACGGTTATGATGGCAATTAAATCTCAACACGAGCTTCAGTGGGTAAGCATTCGAAACCTAGAACCCAGAATTCCTTTTAGGAAATAATTGTGCAAGTCTGGATGAATCCCAGAAACCAGTATTTCAGTGAGAAACTTGGGCAATTCTGGAGCAGAGGCCCAATGAACCTGGCTTGCAGAAATGTTGCTATAAATTATCCTAAGTCTCTCCTATTCTTACCCAGGTTTCTTTCTGTACATCTTCTTTTAGTTACCGCCTTCTCTGTCCTTCCTTCAAAGCCAAGCTTTGAAGCAGTGAGGTTTCCTAACCAGTCTACCAAGGAGGTGTGGTGTGCCACAAATGGTTTATTCTGGGCTGAGATATTGATACCTTAGCCTCAGGCCCTCCTGGCCACCAGTAGCCTTCTGTCTAGGCCCTGTGTACAAGAAGAAGTTCATCTTCTGGCTCTGTTATGACAGGTTCAAATCTGAGAAGTACTGTGTTAGATCACAGAAATCATTGTTTATGTACACCAAGGGCCTTGTGCTTTCTGAGTCACGGGGGAGACCTCGTATTTGTTTAGTTAAAAAAGTAATAATAAATCCTTGTGAACAGCATATGTAAGGCAACTCTTGTCTCTGCAATTTCCTATTACTGTTTAATCTTTGTTTATCTAATTCTATGTTCACCTCTCTACTATACCTACAAAAAAGCAGAAGCATCAGTCATGTAGACACGGTGTCTGTTTCCAGTGTGTGTTGTTACATTGAAAATTACCCACAAACTATGGCATAAAACAACCACCATTTTATTGTTCACGATTCTATGGGCCAGAAATTTGGTCAGGTCTTAGTGAGGATGGTTCATCTCCGCTCAACTCTGGTTAGTTGGACTCAGTTATTCACTGGAAGGTCCAAGGCCTCAATGACATGTGTGCCATTCAGTACAGGCTGATGTGTCTGCACTAATCAGTTCAGGCTGTCATAACAAGGCAACTCTGTCTTGACATATCAGAGAGAAAATAACTCTCTGGTGATTATTTTAAAAATATTTATTTATTTATTTGAAATACAGAGCGACAGAAAGAGATAGACAGCAATCTTCTGTCAGCTGGGTCACTCCCCACATGAGCACATTGGCTGACGCTGGAACAGGCTGAAGCCAGGAGCCAGGAGCTCACTCCCACCTGGTCTCCCACAAAGGTGGCAGATACCCAACACTTCAGCTATCATCAGCTGACTTCCATGGCAGATGAGCAAAGAGCTAAATTGAGCTGCTGGGACTTAACCCCTAACTCTGATCCAACACTGGCCCCTCTGGTGATTTTAAAATAAAGCCACTAATCATCTTGGATTGAGCCTGCATTGTAATTACTCCATTTAGCTTTTATTACCATCTTATATGTCCTATCTCTGAAGTCACATTAGAATATAAGAGCTTCAACATAAGAATTTGAGGGGACACAATTTATGGCACAATGGTATCTTGGTTCCCTTGGATTTGGCAATTCTCCCCATTTTGGCTCTCTGCTATTATCATAAAAGCCCTTTGAAGGCCTAACACCATTTGCAACAGAATTTCCCAGCCTGTGGAATGAGCACTCAGTGAAATCCCAGGATACCTTCCTGCACAATCTAACTGGCTATCAGATGCCCCTAGAGGCAGCACCCACTGATGGCTAGGAGAAATAGACTGTGGTCCACAAGATTCAACTCTGATTGTTCCAGACTAGGGCCCAAGCACTATTATGTATTGTTAAAGGCAAAAATGAAAAGAAAAACCAAATTTCCTCCCATACCACCTGCAGAGTTGCAAAAAATGACAACAATCTCTCAGTTTTCCTTAGAAAAATAATAGTTATCCAGACCGTGCTGGACTAAGAGGCTTGAGACACAGTGTTCAGCAAACTCATACACAAGAAAGAATTTAGCACTTCGTGGTTATTCTGAGCTGGTTGTCTAATAGGTTGAAAGATGGGGAAATGAGAGATGCCCTGCTGTGATCCTCTTCTTGGGGTGCTGGAGATGTGTTTGCAAATCGCCTGGTTTCCAATCAGTTGAGATCATCAGCCTGGACCCATGGAGCTCCAGGTAAGAGAAGCCGCTCCCTGTTTTCCAGGAATCATTTGTTATTTGACCTTAGTTCTCATCTCAGTGCCTCCCCCTTCTCCAAAACATCGCAGAGGTCAAGATGGCCTGCGCTTGGGGAATCCTTCCTTTGTTGGAGAATCGTGGTCCGAATCCCTCCTTTTGGGCATCTGGCACCTCGAGGCCCACGGTTTACATCCAGACGGCTCTTTCTAAGTTCGGGGCAGGGTCTGGGTTCGCCGCATCTGGCGGGTGTGGTCCAGACTGCCGCCTTCGCGCCACTCACGGGAGACCACGTCTCGGACACACGCTGCGAGCGGCGGTGGGCGGGAGTGCTAGGCTTGCTTGAGGGCGCAGGGCAGGGGTGGTGAGAGCGCCCGGAGCGCGCCCCCGCTCCGCACGCTCGCCGCCTGGGTGCGGCCGCTCTCGGCACTAGGTCCCGAGCAGAGTCCCGTGCTCCGTGAGGAGCTCGTGAGCGCCCCAGGTCCCGGACCGGCCCTGGTCCCCGCGCTCGGCGCGCACCTCTGACCCGGCCCCGCCCCCGGCGGCCGGGAGTGGCGGGCGGAGCGCGCGGGGCTGTGCTGCGCCGCCTCTTCGGCGAGTCGGGGGAGGGACAGCCGGGCCGGGCGGGAGAGAGAGAAAGCCCGACCGACCGGCTGGCGGAGGGCTGCATGCAACCGGTGGGAGGCCCGGCGGGTTGGGGCTGGGGCTCCAGCCGCTCCTCAGCGGGTCCCCGGCGGCGAGCGCGGACGGCCGGGAGGCAGCGGCTCTGAGCTGGCAGGCGGAGGGCTGTCTCCTGCGCCCGCCAGCCCGGCGCGGTCCGAGGATGCGGGGGGGCGATGCCCGGGGCCAGGGACGCGCTCTGTCACCAGGCGCTGCAGCTGCTGGCCGAGCTCTGTGCCCGTGGGGCTCTGGAGCACGACAGTTGCCAGGATTTCATCTACCACCTGCGGGACCGTTCCAGACCCCGGCTCCGCGACCCAGGTGAGTGCCGCCGCCTAGCGCGTCTCCACATCCCAGGGCTGGGACTTGGGGCCGCTCCGGGGCCTAAGGCAGGAGGAGAGCGACGTGGACTGGGAGAGGAAGGGAAGGGTAGTCGGGGGTTGTGTGTGTTTGGGGGGCGGGAGGAGTGAAGTTGCAGCCACCGAGCTGAAGAGAAATCCAGAACCAGCGCGCCGGGGCCTGATGCTGGAACCGGGCGGGGACCCGGGCGAAGGCTGCTGCGGGAGGCTGAGTCCGTCGGGTGGGCTGGGGCCGGGCTGAAGGGACCACGCCCGTCACCTGCGCTCCGGTCGCCCGTCGCCCGGGCTCCTGGAGGCGGCTGCCCTGGACTACGGGACTGTACTTCCCTGGCTCCGTACTTCCCTGGCTCCGCACCCTGCGTGAGGGAGGCCGCGGCGGCCTCCTGAGCTCGGAGAAAAGGGGACGAGGCCGGGGGATTGGGGAAACTCCGGGAAGTTAGGAGTTGGGGATGCTTCCCGGCTGTGTCTGAATCTCAACGGGCACTGCTCATCCTCTGTCCTCAACAACAAGTTCCTTTTCTTGGTCTGAGGTGAAAAGAGCGGGACGAGACCTGTCGTTGGACAGAGTTAGGGAGCCACGGGTCCTGGGCAGCCGGGCCTGAGCTTGTTCCCTGTGGGTCTCCAAGGAGCCCAGGCGGCCTGGGCCAGTGGTCGCCGCCGAGGATGCCGGCCACTGCTGGTGCACCTGCAGCTATCCCTAGTGAGAGCCGCCGAGCTCCCAACTTTATAAAGTTCGCTTATTTTGGCATTGGGCCAATTAAGGCTGCAGGAGAGGGTTGAAGTGGAGCCATTAGCTCTTCCCAAGGGCCTTGGTTCTCCGCCGCCTTCTCATCCCTCACCGGTTACTGGAAGAGGTCCAGGTTCCTTTCCATGTGAACTCCGAATTGTGTTTCACCTGGAGAAATGCTTTCCTTCGGGATCCTCTCAACTAAGTACTTTTAAAGGGAAGCATGTAATGGAGGGACTGTGAAAGCGGGCCTGAGAAATGGCCATTCCCTCGGTATTCCTAGAGCTATTGCAGAGCAAATTATCCAGCTACAATTAACTACATTTTATCTAGTCTTGTTACATAAAAAAAGAAATCTACTTACCCCAAGGAAAATTAGAGAATTACTTGCTTTGGAAAGGAATTCACACAGTCTGACTTAAGTAGCATGTCCTTGATAGGATATTCAAAATAGGTGTGTGGAGTCAGGTCATTTGTTGAAAGTTCTATCAGATTTTCCTTACTTGGAGGATCCTCCCACCCCCGCTGAAGAAAAGATTGCTCCCCATTGCATGAGGTTATGCTAATTGGGGTTGTTAAATAATCACTAATGTGTTAGGGATTTCCTTGCCTGCCCAACCTGTGTGTGTAGACCCCAGATGGGAACTGGAGCCTCTCCTGTGGGGGTGCTCTGCCTGGGACTGTGCTAGGAGTACTCCTTAGTGTCTCACATGAGGTGTTGCCTTCATCTTTGGCTTTACCAGAAGAGACGGATGAGGCCCAGCCTCGAATTGTGTGGTTCACATTTGGCATCCTTTGGGCCCCTTTTAGTCCAAGGACTGGACTCAGGTTCTGCTCAACTCCTGCCCTGGCTAAGCCTTGAGATAGAGTTGGGAAGCAAGTAGCTATCAGTGAGACTGCCTGGCTGCTCCTTAAGTTCCTGAACGCAGCAGAGAGAAAGAGAGAGAGAGAGAGAGAGAGAGAGAGAGAGAGAGAGAGAGAGAGTGTGTGTGTGTGTGTGTGTGTGTGTGTTTTCAAATGAGGGCATGGGGTTCTGAGGTATTGAGGTCTTCTTCTGGCCTTTTGGTGTGTGTGGGAAGGTAGCCTGCCTGAGACAGGCGTGGAGAGCTGCACTGTGCAAGGTGAGAGGAAATGGGGTTGATGATGACATCCGAAGTCCAGCCTTCCCTGCAGGGCACTCCAGCTCAAGTGAAATGTCTCCTTTGCCTTGCTCACATAATCAAATGCGTTGTCCCTGTCCCTTGGAAGCTGGTGGCTCAGGCTGAGGCTGGTGTTCAACGTCTGGGCCCTAAGAGCCCCGTGGCTGGAGAAGCTGCATGGCACAACGCTGTGGGAAGAGTGGCTGTGGTGTAGTGCAAAGCAGAGCATCCAGGTACAGCAGCTCTAGAACCTGTCTCCCTGTCTCCCGGCAAGAGACTTTCCTTTCTGTGAAAGAGTCTATCTGCATGACACATTGCAGCTTTCTCTCTCTGTTCTCCATTCCAGGGCCACCCAGTGGTAGCTAGGTTTTCTCAAGATCCACTAAGGACAATGGGCATAAAGGAGAACAGATATAATTCCCGTGGACAGCAGACTGTCACTGCATCAGGGATGTTTGCTCATTGTTTTCAGGAGTTAGGGAAGGCTGGATCACACACCATTGGGCCTGGTCCATGGGAAGGATTATTATTAACCCAAGTAGCTGTAGTTCCCTGAAGGAACAATGTAACATCAAGCTTTCCCTGACTTGGTGTTAACAGAGAAGTGGAGGAAGTGTAATTTCTTACAGGGAGCCTGAGTTGTAATCAAAACTGGAAAGCTGGTCTGTCATCCCTACTAAATTGTAGAAGTCAAATGCATGTGAGCTCTTGTCCATAGAGAACAGTTAGAATGCTCTGTTGAGTGGCTTCATGTTAATTCATACCTGGGACACAAACTTGTAGCTCTCACAGAATAACTTTTAAAGAGAAGGTGTAAAGGTCCTGAGGTCAGAGCATGTTTATATGATTTAATATCCAGACTTCAAGGGATGCTGGGCACAGTGACAGAGCTGTGGAGTGACAAAGAATATGGTCAAGGGTAGAGAGGGCAGATCATACAGGGTTTTGTAAATAAATATAAGGATTTTGAGTTTTACTATGAACAAGAGATGCAGTCATTGTAAAATACTGAGCCCCTAAATAACAACACTTTGAGTAAAAATAATTATAGAAAAGGTGAAGACAGAAAAATCAGGTAGGAAGATATTTTAAAAATCAAGAAAGAAGTGATTGTAGCTTTTACCCAGAGCTATTGTAATGGAGGTGGTAAGAAGTAATTGGTTTATCTGTGGAATCTGAAGGTGCAGCCACTCATATTTATTGATAGAGGGGACATGGAGTCTGAAGGAGAATGAGTTGAGGATAATTCCAAGGAGTTTGGACCTAAGGAATTCCATTTTCTGAGCAATGCAAAGTTTCAGGAAGGAAATTAGAGTAGTGAGGGATAACTTTTATTTGTCATTTTTTGTACATGCTGAGTGTGTGGCACTGCGTTAGATAGTCAAGATGCTTTGAATAGTGGGTAGCCTGAGACATGAATATATTCTTTATCATTTAAAAGGGAAACAGAGAGGAGAGAGATTCCCCTATACATTGGTTCACTCTCAGATGTCTGCAACAGCCAGAACTGGAAGCTAGAAACACAATTCTGGTCTCCTCTGTGGGTGGGACTTGAACCATCACTGCTGACTCCCAGGGTTCAGGTTACCAGGAAGCTGGACTCAGAGCAGAGCTGAGGCACTCTGCTATGGATGTAGGGATCCCATTCAGAATCTTAATCCCAGATCTAACTTCTACCCCTGAATATCTTCTTTAACATCATCAATTGGTTTAACTCATCTTTTGTAATTGGATATTTAACTGTCAAGAGAGCTAATTGGCTGTAGAATAGCACTTATTTTTGGAAGGCTTTTCCCTTGTGGGAGATTAAAAGCTCTCTTAAACTTCTACTCATTTATCTTGATTATACTTTTTGCAGTCAAAAAGAATTAGTCTTATCCCAATTTCCATCATGCACCCTCGGCTATTAGGAGATAACTCTTTCAACTTCTCTGGGCCCACCATTTCCACAGCTGTAAAAGAAGGGAGGATTAGATCATTGAACTTCTAGATTTTAAGCATGCTTTATCATTTTCCTTGTACATTTCTTCAGTAGAGTGCCAAGCATGCCTGTGCCAAGCATTCTATGTAGGTCATTTCACTCAGACCTCATAACAGCCTTCTAATACCTTGCTTCTCAAAGCACTTGCCTCTAGACCAGTGATAGCAGCAGCCTCCCAGAGGTTGCTAGGCGTGCAGGTTCTCAGGCCCACCCCAAAGTTACTGCATGTGAGTCTGCATATTCCAAACCATGGGCGAATCATAGATACATTAGTGCTTGAGAAACACATCAAAGTGTCATGGGTATGTATGAGTAAACCGAAGTACAGAAAAGCCAACTATAGCCCAAGGCTATGGATTCCATTTTTTTTTTAAAGAATTTTGTCAAAGTATCTTTTTAGATTATCATAACAGAATTTAGTAGTCATTGGCAATGAACATTTCCTAGGTATTGTTCATAGCAGCTACCCTTAAACCTACTTTTTCTATTCTGTGCTTGTGTAATACAGTTTAATCCCCCACGTAGGTTAAATTTTATAGAGATTCACTTTGGTATTTTGGCTATGAATTCCCTTATCCTGGGTAGCAGCTTTTCTATTCATGTTCCAACTTCATATTCAGAAATGCCTGCATGCTCTCAGAGTCTGTGCGCATGTCAGGGTGTGACGCAGAGCCTTAGGACTCAACATCAGTGACTGCACTGACCAAGTAAGATGACTGCAGCCAATAAAGCTTTCTTTGACCACTGGTTTTCCCTTTTGAATGCTCCTTAGATATACTAGACAGAGCTCTAACAAACGAAATGAAACAAATGAAAAGCTATCAATGATGGGACTGTGCTCTGGACCTATTCCATCAGAATCTCTAGGTGTGGAGCTGGTATCAGTATATTTTTAGATGCCTCAGTTGGCTCTAATGCACAGCCAGGTAGAGGAAGACTTTGAAGAACATCAGATGGAAGATTATTCTACTTCACCTTGTTCATCTCACGTTTCTTTCTTAAAAAATCAGGAAAGGTGATATAAAATACCTGGAACCTGTTAACTCTTGTACAGTTAGAAGCCATTTGAGCTGATTTTTAGCTTTCTTTGGACAGTATTATCCCAATGATTTATC